ACAGAGCACGAAGGGCAAGAGTCTGGAGGGGCGTGGGTGTGAGCAGAGACTCAACTTACAGCATTCAGCACAGGGCAGAGATCAGGGAGGGCAGGCAGACAGAGAGGAAAGGCAGGTGGAGAGCAGAGCAGAGAATGGGCAGGGGTCCCGGGTGAAGTTTACCAAGCAATAAATAATGAGCATCTACTATGTGCCAGGCTCTGAGGTGAATAAGAGAGTGAATAAGACAAATGAGATCTTTGTTCTCTAGTGTATGGTGGCTAGGGGGTGGGGGTGGGGCAAGGGCAGGGGGAGGCAATAAACAGTAAACAAATATAAGATCATTTCAGAGAGTGATGAGTTGGAAAAACAATGAAACATATTGAAAAAACAGGGTGGGTGAGTGAATGACAGAAGGGAACCAACCAGGTGAAGAAGCGGGCGAAGGGTGGGCATTTCAGGAGGAGACAGTCAAAAGTGTCAGGGTGCTAAGGGAGTCATTTCAGATGTTCTAGAACATCAAGAGATCTGATCTGGCAGGAGCATTGTTGGAACATCGAGGAGGAGTACAAGTTGGAGGGCCTCACCTAACAATGAGCTCATATTTATTCCAAGTACAATGAAAAGCCACTCAAATATTTTAAGCAGGGAAGAGCATGATATGATGTGGTTATAAAACTATTAATGGATATTGTGAAGACTAGTTTGTGTAGGGCAAGGGCAGAAACAAACAACCAGCTAAGAATCTATTGTGCTATTTCCAGGTGAGAGATGATGGCTTGAACCAGGATGGAAGTAACAAAGGTGGAGAAAAGTGAGTAGATTCAGGATATATTTTGCATGCAGAGCTCACAGAACTTGCTGGTGAGTTAGATACAGGGCAAGAATCCGTGAGAAAATGGAAAGGAAAAAGATGTCCCCTAGGTTTTCAGCCTGAACAAGTAGTTGTCATGTCCCAGGATGGGACACAAGGAGAGAAACGGATTGGCGGGGGAAGAATTCAAGCCATTTATTTTAGCCACACTAGCTTCACATGGCCATTAGACATCCAAGTGGAGATGTCAAGCAGGCTGTTGGATAAATGAGTCTGGAGCTTTGGATATAAATTTAGGACTCACTGACATTTACATAGTATTTAAGCCCTGGGACTGGATGACATCACTGGACAGAGAAAGTGGAAAGAGAAGAGAGACAAGGACTGAGCCCTAGCCAGCGCTAACATTTAGAGGTCGAGCCAAAGACTGAGAAGGGAAAGCCAGTGAGGTTGAAGGGAAACTAAGAGAGAGTGGTGTTCTAGAAGTGCAGTCAGAATAAAACATGATTGGGACACCTGGGTGGCTCAGGGGGTTAAGCGTCTGCCTTCAGCTAAGGTCATGATCCCAGGGCCTTGGGATCAAGTTCCCGCATCAGACTCTAAGGAGCCTGCTTCTCCCTCTGTCAGCCGCTCCACTTGATTGTGCTCTCTCTCCATCTCTCTCTCTCTGACAAATAAATAAAATATTTAAAAAATAAAAATAAAACATGATTGAGAAGGATGGAGTAGGACCGAGTGAGAGTGGGGATAGGGGAAACTACTTTTGATAGAGAGGTTAGGGAAGGCCTTTCAGAGGAGTTGACATTGGATCTCTGTGACATTTTAACAAAAAAAAAAAAAAAAAAAAGTGAGTCATTGTGAAAAGCCAGGGGAAAACATTCCAGACAGAGGGAATAGTAAGTGCCAAGGCCCAGTGGCAGGTTAAGATCCTCTAGTTCGGGGCGACTGGGTGGCTCAGTGGGTTAAAGCCTCTGCCTTCGGCTCAGGTCATGGTCCCAGGGTCCTGGGATCGAGCCCCACATCAGGCTCTCTGCTCTGTGGGGAGCCTGCTTCCCCCTCTCTCTCTGCCTGCTTCTCTGCCTGCTTGTGATCTCTGTCAAATAAATAAATAAAATCTTTAAAAAAAAAATAAAAAGATCCTCTAGTTCTAGGAACATGGATCATGTCCAGTGTGACTGGGCCATAGAGTGTGAGGAGAGGAAATCAGAAAGCAACCTAGTGGACGGGTCATATAGGGCCTTGTAAGTCACAATGAGGAGTTTGGATATTCTGAGTGCTAGAAAAGCTGAGTAATGCGACTCGATCTACTTATGTTAAAGATCATTTGAGTAGGAGAATGCACTGTAACAGGGCCAGAGTGCCATGGGGGATCAAGCCTTTGGGACAATCCAAGGACGGTTCGAGATCTTTACCCCCACCCCTAGCCCCACGTAGATCCCCTGCGCTCTGCATCGTCCACCACTGGCGAAATGGAGTTGGGGATGCGGAGCCTTAGGTGACTCAGAATCTCAGAAACTGTCTGGCATGACCATGGGTATCCATGGAGTTGGGTGAAAGGGGTGCAGAAGCCCGCTCCCAGAACCCCGGGAATCAGACGGCCGGTCACCCTCCGCTGCCCTCTCCAATACTCCACCTGGGACCCAGCTGGGCGCAACTCCTGTGGCGCGGCAGCAGGAGGGTTAAACCGTGCGCTGCCCACCGCGGGAGGGGGAGAGGCGGAAACCTTGCGCTGGGAGCTGCCGCGCCGAGCCCAGCCGAGCCGAGCGCCTCCCGAGCCGAGCCGAGCCGAGCCGAGCATCTCCCGCCGCCGCCGCCGCCGCCGCCGCCCCGCGCCCTGGGCGCCCACCCCCCACCCTCTCCAGCGCCCAGGCTGCGGGCCAAACCCCCCGACCATGCCCCGTGCCCCACACGCCCCAGCGACCCCCCAGCCCCGCGCAGCCCCGAGCGCCCGCAGCTGTCGCGCCGCCGCGCCAGGCATGCAGGTGAGTGAGAGGGACCCCCCACGCCCCCGCCCGCGGGAGCCCGGCCCTGCCCTTCCCGACTCCGCGCCCTCGGCCCCCCGCCCCTACCGGCGCGGTCCCTCGCCCGGGCTCGAGCCTCCGGCCCCTAGGCGCGCCTTGCTCGCGGTGCTCTCCATCCCTCCGCGGGTCCCGACTCCATCCTGCCCTCCTGGCGCAGCGGTCACCGTCCTCGCGGCTGCCTCTATCCCGCCTTCGCTTCAGCCCTCGGCTCCGTGCATCCTCCTGCCTCGGGTTCCCTTTCTGCTCTCGGCGCTGCCTCCCTCGCAGTCCTTCGCTGCCCTCCTGGTCCTCGCTTTCCCCCCACCTCCCGCCGCTTTCCAGCCTGTCCGGGGAGCGCGGGCCCGTGGGAGGGATGGGCCCGGGGCAGCGCTGGGGATGGGAGCCGGTTCCCCCACCCTAAAGCTCCCGCCCCACCCCCAGCTCATCTCTTGCGCACAACAGGTCGGTGAGAATCGAGGAGAGGGTGGGGGTGGCGCGCCAGGCTGGGGACTGCGGGCTTCCTGGAGGGGGTGGCTAAAGGGGATGCGGGGCTCGGGGACTGGAGTTGACGTTGGTTTTGGGGCGGGGGGATGCACAAGGCAGAGAGGCGAGTGAGTCCTGGAGTCAGCTGGCCACAGATGTCCCCGTGAGCCCTTCTCCGCTTCACTGGTTCGCTCTAACCTCCTTCCTCCCTCCCTCGCTCCCTCCCTCCAGCTTCCTTCTCTTCGCGTCCCTCTCTCCCTTCAGCCCACCAGGCTCCCATCCCTGTATCTTTCCAGAGCTCCATATCCCTTTACATTTGAAGAAACACTTAGCAACTCCTCCATTTTTCCTGCTCCGTTTTCAGTCCCTCATCCCTGCCTCTTCTCATTTTGTCCTCAGTGTGATGTTCTCTCCTTTTCCATTTCCTTTCTCTGCGTCCCTGGTCTTTTCCACCCCTTTTCTCTCTTCCCCTTCCACTCTCTCCACTTCCCATCCTGCCTAGACCTTTCCGTCCTGTCCTCCTGCCCTTTCCCCTTCTTCCCTTGATCCTGCGAACCCTTCGCCCTCCCTGTTTCCCTCTCTCACTTGTACTCTTAGCTTATTCTCCCTTCAGCATCCTCCAAGCTTCCAATCTTCGCACCCACATCCTTCCCAGTCCTTCCCAGTCCATCCTTTCAAGCTGACTCCTCTCCCTCCTCCCATGCTCTGGGCCCACTTCTTCACCTTCCTCCTCTCCTCACTCCTAATTAACCCTCCCTCTCTCAGCCTCTTACCCTACACCCTTCTTCCCACTGCCCACTTCTGCTTGCCCTTCCCCAGACTTTCCCATCATATTCTGTTATTCTCTGAGAGCACTTAGTGTGCAGGTTTAGACCCAGAATCCAGAGGACCCAGGTGTCACATCCTCATTCACTCTGGGGAACCTGGCCCCCTTGGAGCCACCTGTCCCCAGCTCTGAGAACATGTCCTTCCTCTTTCAAAACCCAACTATCCAGCTTCTCCCAGGACTCTGCCCAGGAGAGCTACATTTGAGGGGTGGCCTCTCCCCAGCTCCACCTCCCTTCAGAGATCACCTATGGATTTGGGTGATTTAACACTGAGCAAAAATTATACTCTGTAGTTTCTCTCCCACCTACCTCTGTCTTTCTCTGCTTCTTTCTTTCCATCCTTCCATCCATTATTTCCCTTCTCCTGAAGATGTAGATTCCCCGGGGACCCATCGGAAGAGAAATGCTTGGGACTCCAAGCAGGCTAGGCAGGCTGGAGTGCTCCCCTTGTGCGCTCACCACACACACACACACACACACACACACACACACACACACACTCACACATTCACACACTCACTCGGATTGACTTCCCCTTCCCTCCCCCACTGTCAGACTCCCTCCCTAGCGGTAGGTGCTCAAGGAATCACAAGGTTCTTGGCTCTAAATTAAGCTCCAACAAGAGCTTGGAGCTGTGGGCAGAGGAAGTGAGAAGGAAGGAAGCCAGAGAAGTAAGAGTAGACCCTGAGGTGGGGAAGTTGCAAGGATCTCTGGGCATTAGTAGCTAGGGGCTGGGGGCTAGACAGGAACCACTCTGGGAGATCCATGCCCCCCCTCAGAAGGATGCTAAGTGGCAGCTGGCAGCCTAGGGGGATAGATCCAGGTAGGACTGGTGGCTGAAGGATCTGGGGAAGTGCTAAGAGCAGGGTTGGGATGTGATGACCTCTTCTCTCCCCCCAGTAAAGGCTGAAAATCTGGGTCACAGCCGAGGAAGAGTTCAGACATGAAGTCCAAGATGTGGTAAGTTTGGTACAGCAGAGGGAGCCTGGAGGCCACTTCTCCTGGGGTCTGGGCCCCTTCCCTCCTAGGTCCGCCCTGGGCCTTCCTTCTTGAGGGCCAGACCCTAGGAAGGGAGGAAATGGGGCAGTCTTCCCAAGGCCCATTTGCTTTTCCAGAGAAAGCTGGAGGAAGACAGCTGGGATCTCTGGTATAAGCCGGTGCTCCGCATACAGAAGCCCAAGATGGGCTTGTGTCTCACCCCCTTTCTCTCCCTTCTTGCAGGCCTGCGCTGCTGCTGTCCCACCTCCTCCCTCTTTGGCCACTGCTGTTGCTGCCCCTCCCACCTCCTGCTCAAGGTTCCTCCTCTTCCCCTCGAACCCCACCAGCCCCAGCCCGGCCCCCCTGTGCCCGGGGAGGCCCCTCTGCCCCACGCCATGTGTGCGTGTGGGAGCGGGCACCCCCACCAAGCCGATCCCCTCGGGTCCCAAGATCGCGTCGGCAGGTCCTGCCAGGCACGGCACCCCCTGCCACCCCGTCTGGCTTTGAGGAGGGCCCACCCTCATCCCAGTACCCCTGGGCCATTGTATGGGGCCCTACAGTGTCTCGAGAGGATGGGGGGGACCCCAACTCGGCCAATCCTGGATTTCTGCCCCTGGACTATGGTTTTGCAGCCCCCCATGGGCTGGCAACCCCACACCCCAACTCAGACTCCATGCGGGGTGATGGAGATGGGCTCATCCTTGGAGAAGCGCCTGCCACCCTGCGGCCATTCCTTTTTGGGACCCACGGGGAAGGTGAGTGCGAGTGGGAGAGGGTGGTGGGAGGCTCGAAGGGCAGTAACAGAGATCTTGTCTGTTAGCTCCTCCCACAAATGTGTCAGGCACTGTGCAGGCACTGGGGCAGAGATGAAATGTGCTCCGAGCCCTGGAGGAACTCAGGTCCACCAGCGAAGACAGATGTGTAAACACTCAGGGACAAGTCAATGAAACAAATGCTCTAACAGAGCACACACAGAATGTCTTTAGGAAAAGAAGGAAGGGAGAGATTACCTTTGCCTGGGGATCAGGACAGCTTCTAAGAATTGACACTGGAGCTGGACCTTGAAAATGGAGTGGGAGTATTCCATGCAGAAGAATACCGGGAATGAAAGGAACCTTCAGGGTGACATTTCTGCTCAAGGAATGCCAAGCTAGGGATAGTGGTTTGTGGGTGGGGCTGGTGCAGAGATGGACATTTCCACCCCCTAGTTTCCATGCAGAGAGGGGTTGGTTCTCTCTGACCTTGGAGCTTCCTCCTCACCACATGTATACAGAAGATTTGGGAATGTGGAGGAAAAGGACTAAAAACTTCTGGGAAAGCTGATGCTAAGAATGAAGGTGGGGGAGGGGAGCAGTTCAGGAAAGCAGAAAGAGTTGGGTACTGTGGATTCGAATGGCAACACACTGCAAGATTATTGAACCCGCAGCCTAATCCCACCCCCACCCCCTCTTGGCTCCTACCACCTCTGGCCTCCCTAAAACTTTCTACCCACCCCAATCAGGTGTGGACCCCCAGCTCTATGTCACAATTACCATCTCCATCATTATTGTTCTCGTGGCCACTGGCATCATCTTCAAGTTCTGGTAAGCTGCGGGGAGGAGGGTGCTGCGGGATGGGGCAGGAGGGCAGGAGCAAGGGCAGCATTTTTGCTGGAGGTGGGCTAGGAAGTGGTAGATTTAAGCAAGAAAACCCTTGGGGAAAGTTGGTAAGGATTTGGGTGGGGGAGACTGTGAGAAATCGGACAAATTCCTTTTCCCAGGGAAATACAAGGATAATGGAAGAGGCAGGGGAATTATTTACGCGCACTGAGGGCCCGGACATTTCCTCCAAGACGGAGAAAACTGACCCATTCTGCAGAGGCCCTTCTTGGGGCTGTCTGGGGAGGAGGAATTAAGTCTGGAGGTTTCTTTGCATGCATTTAATAGTGGGTCACTCAGTCCTTCACACTTTACTGCGAGAATCATTAGACTCAGGTGTCCAGGTCATTAGCTGATTTTGAACTAGAACTAAATCTTCCAGGTGCCTGCTGAGGAGAGAAATGGCTCTTCTGGGCATGCATGGGGGAGGGGCAATCTCGAGGGACTCTGTGTCGGTGGGGAGGAGGTACTGATTCCGCAGGTCTGGACCAGGCCCAGAGGATGGTTTACATCCCTGAGCCCCCTAGGGGGGTAGGGAAAGTAGCTTTATGGACTCTCAGTCTCAGATATTTGATATAGGGAACTGTTAAGAGGCTAATTTCTCTCCTGTAGGATGTTGGGGTGTCTGAGGGAGGCTGGGTGTGGCCAGCACTGCAGGCCCGGGATGGGGGCTTCTTAAATGTGTGAGAGAACCTCTTTCCTTCCCGTGTACCAGCTGGGACCGAAGCCAGAAGCGGCGCAGGCCCTCTGGGCAGCAAGGTGCCCTGAGGCAGGAAGAGAGCCAGCAGCCGCTGACAGACCTGTCCCCAGCTGGGGTCACTGTGCTGGGGGCCTTCGGGGACTCACCTACCCCCACCCCTGACCATGAGGAGCCCCGAGGGGGACCCCGGCCTGGGATGCCCCAGCCCAAGGGGGCTCCAGCCTTCCAGTTGAACCGGTGAGGGCAGGGGCAAAAGGCTGGGAGGGTTGGGAGGTAAGGCAACTTTGGTCCGGAGCCTTGGTTGGGGGTGTTCCCTCCAGGGTGGGTGGGGAGGAAGTAGACCTACCCCCCCCGCACAGCCCCTGGCCCTCCCTAGGACTGGACCAGGTCCTTTCTAGGGTACCCTTCCTTCTCCCGCTCTCTGTGGATCTCTGTCCTGTTCTCACACTGTCATTTAACTCAACTCTGCCCTCTTATCCTTGAATCCCTTTCTTTGCCTTGGACTTCCCTTCGATTCTGGCCTACCCAGTGGTTCCTGACTATGCCCTTTCCCTCTTCCTCTCAGGATTCCCCTGGTGAATCTGTGATGCCCCCCAATGTTGGGGTGCCGCCAAGCAGGAGGCCAAGGGGCCGGCACAGCCCCCATCCCACTGAGGGTGGGGCAGCTTTGGGAGCAGGGGGCCATAGGGGCTCCTGGCTGCTGCCCTTGCACACCACCCTGGAACCCTCACTGGCCCCATAGGCGATCCTACCTGCCCGCCCTCCTTTAGGTGGGGGGGGCCTCACATATTTGTGGCTTCTGGTCCCCCAGCCCTCCCTTGCACACTCACATGAAAGCCTTGCACACTCACCTCCACCCTCCCGGGCCATCGCACATACTTGCACTCTTGTACAGCCAGTCTTCCGCACCCTCTCTCCACTCCCCCCACCCGTGCCGACCCCTCCCATTCTCCGTTTGTTTCACACTCTTCACTCTCTCTTCCTCCCACATTCTAGGCTCAGCTCAGTCACTCAGTGGTCAGTGGGCAACTCTCCAGTTACCTCTCACTTGCATTTCCTGGCCCCATGTTGTGGTGTTGTGTGTTGTGCTCACACTGTCCCTCATGAACACCTATTGATCTCATTTCTGTGGCCCCTGCATGCTGCCCCAGAGGTGGGTGGGAGGTGAGCTGGGGGCTTCTCATGCTCCCATCTGTCATGGCTTCATTTCATTCCATGTCATTTCTTTCATTGTCTCCCCCATCCCACTCCAAGGGCGTGCTCATTACCCTGAGGGCTCCCCCATGGGGATGGGGGTAGTGAGGCCCCAAACTTCTCCCCCCTGAACTGCTAAATTCTGTTGTCTGGAAGATGGGTTTTGGGGAGTCACCTGCTGCACTACACGAGAAAGGGGCTCCCATTTGCCCTTCCCTTCCTCCTAAGTCCCTTTTGTCTTGTCTGTCCTGGCTGTCCGTGTGTGGGTCACTCTCTGGAATTCAGAGTCCCTGAGCCAGTCCTCCACTTCCCAGCCTCTCTGAGGGCCTCCCTAACCCCACCTGGGCTGCCAGGGACTGGAGCCAGCTGGTTCAAGGCCATGGGGAGCTCTGCCTCCCAATCTATCCCTCCCCTTCCTGGGCTCCTTCACACTTCTCCCTCCCTGCCCTCCTTGGTTTTTCCATTTCTCCTTCCTTTTGCCTGTCCCCCCCTTCCCCTCATATTTGTCCCTATGTCTCACCATTTTTCCACCTTCCTCCCTTCTTCCTCTCTTACCTGGCTCCTATGCTGTGATATATATTTTTGTATTATCTCTTTCTTCTTGTGGTGATAATCTTGAATTCTTGTGGGATGTAAGTTTCAAAATTTTCAAATAAAGCCTTTGCAAGATACCAAAGTCCCCTGGTTCTGCTTATGAACCCTGAAGAGAGGAGAGGGAGGAGGCAAGGGCACCCAAGAAAGGAGGAAAAGAAGGATGGGGGTTGGAGGGAACTCCTTAAGACTCAGTGTGACCTGGCCTGCTCTGACCTGGAATTAGGGTTCCTGAGCTTTTTCTTGTGGGGGGGGGGGGGTAGGAGCAGAGGGAGAGGGAGAAAGAGAATTTTAAGCAGGCTCCCAGTCTGCAGGGAGCCCGACATGGGGCTTGATCTCAGGACCCTGAGATCATGACCTGAGCTGAAATCAAGCGTCAGGCACTTAACCGACTGAGGCACAAGCGCACGTCAGGCTTTAACTTGGGAGAGAATGAAAGGGAGAAACTGAATGGAGCAGCCAGAGCAAGAAAACCTAAAAGAGTGGCTTGCTTCTTACTTGCCAGTGAAGGTCCAGAAAGACCATGAGAAAGGAGACAGAGAAAAGGGATAGGCAATGAAGCAAGCAAGAAGAGGAGGAAAGAGCTGGTAAGACAGATGGAGAGTAAGGAGTAAAAGGGGGAGAGAAAAACAAGAAAGAGGCTTCCCTGCTTGGTTTATTTTCAGCCTTGCTCCCTGACTTGCTCCCATCTACAGCTACCCCCCAAAAGCTGAGCATTAGAACCCCTGTAGTTAACTCTCACTAGCTTTCCCCACTCTGCCCTCTCTGAGAGAGAGGTGCTGCTAGGGTGCGGGGGTGGAATCAAGGGGTATGTTTGGAGGAAGGAACAGAGGCTGCCCAGCTGGGATCAGTCACCTCTGAGCCCCCCATTCTGGGTTTGGCTCTAGCGACAGCCCTGCAAAAGCCCACACATCAGCCTCTCAGCTGTTGCTAGGCTCTGTTGCCATGGTAACCACACAGGTCCCATTTCTCCCCCACCCCCATCTGTGCCCCACTTGCTCCCTGGAAATGGGGAGCTCCGGGGAGGAGAGGAGATTGTAGTGAGCAAGTCTGGGCTGCCCCGGATTCTGAATGCCTCTATGTATTTATCTATGCAGTTAGCATCAGGAGGGTATAGGTTGGGTAGGCGTGTTTTAGGTGTTGGGGAGCATTACTGTCCACTTAAGGAAGAGTGGCTGAATCCATAGAGCCCACAATGGGGAGCTGGGGAGAAGGGAGCCTATTTCTCAGGACCAAAGCAGTATGTACCTTTAGGGCCTCAGACCCCATAAGAAAAAGAGTGCTACAGAGGAAAAAGGCAGAGCAGGGGCAAGGAGTGATGAGCCAACTAAAAGCAGAGGTGCGAAGCCAACAAGCTGCTGAGGAGGGCTCAGAGTCAATCCAGTGGGGCCTTCAGAGATCCCAGTAGCAGCTGGTGGAGAGAGAAGGGTGGATGGAACCTGAGGGTGCAGGAAGTGCGGAGGACATGGGTCAGGGGCTGTGAGGTAGGGATCGGAGGTGGATGGGAGAAAAAGCCTCACTAACCTTTCTCTTCTCCGCCCCCCCCCCCCCAGGAATCTAGTCTTTGTAAGGTTGGGGTGGGGGGAAGAGCACTGGCTTAGAAGGGGAAGGAGCTCAAGTGCCTGGAGAGCATGCTGGGGCTCTATCACCCTCTGCAATTGTAATTCTTCTGAGGGACAGTGTGACCCCAAGGCTCATCCATATGCAAAAGGCACGCATGAAGGCCCCTAATGAAGAGGGAATTAATTATTGCCTGATTAGCCTGCTGTTTCTCTAAATTTAAATAAATTAAAATACACCAGCAAGACACTGGGAACTCCTCACCTGTTCCTTCTCCCTAAATGTCCTTCTTCCCCATGGAAAGTCAGATGGCAGGGAGAGACAGAGGAGAAAGGAGACATCCTCGTCTTCCCATCTGTCCTAAAGTAAATGTCCCAAACTAGATCACATTGTCAGGATAACCATGAAGAGTTGGGAGGCCCTGGGGAACAGATCCTAACCTTTATCTCTCATGAAACTGAAACAGACTATGGGGCCTTAGAAGGCCCTTGAAGGTTGCAAGTGGTTGAGCAGAGTCACTGGTTAGTGACAGACCAAGAACACAAACAAAGGCCATACTACCCTTTTGGTTCTTGGAGGCCACACATCACAAGCACCACTGGGACCAGCATCTCTCATCACTATGCTTTCCTTGCCTCCTAAGCTGTGCATCAAATGACTCAGCCAGTCTTCTCTTAAGCATTTTTCTGGAATGCTTACCATTATGGCTCAGACCAAACCAGGAAATGGGGAAGCCCCCAGGAGGAGGGATCTCCCAGGCAGAGCTCAGGGTGTGGAAGTGATTCAAGATGGAAACAGTGTGCCAGCTGGAAAACCCCAGGCTAAAATTAACAGCCCTCCTCCCCCTACGCCCCACATTTATCTCTAAAGCTCTTCTGTAAGAAGTTCAAAGCACTTAAAAAACTGGCTTCTTATAGCAAGGGCAGGAGCAGGGCTGACAGTTGGAGACACTGAGGCTCAGGGAGTACCAGTTAATGAAAATAGGAAAAGAACTAGGACGGAAGAGGAGAACTGGGAATTAAAGTGATTAATACGATTTGCTCCCACTTCTCTATCTCAGCCCCCAAAGTCGATGTTTCTGGAATTAGCAATTTCCAACCCATGCAGCAACTAGGTCCGGTCACATTCCAGCCCTTAAAGATCTTATCCTGCCAACTGTTGCTACTCAGTTAACACAGACTGGGTGAACAGCCCCAAAACTGTGATCAAGACAGTAGACATTTTCAAAGGGACACAAACTATAATTACAAACCTAGGATACATATCTTCTATTTATTTTTTTTTAAAGATTTTATTTATTTATTTGACAGACAGAGATCACAGGCAGGCAGAGAGGCAGGCAGAGAGAGAGGAGGAAGCAGGCTCCCCGCTGAGCAGAGAGCCCGATGCGGGGCTCGATCCCAGGACTCTGGGATCATGACCTGAGCCGAAGGCAGAGGCCTAACCCACTGAGCCACCCAGGCGCCCCCATATCTTCTATTTAAACCTTTAACTTAAATGTTTATTTTTAGGTGTCCTTTGCTACTTCCTTGTTGTGATTTTGAAAAAAAAAATCACTTAAATCTTCAGAATCTTATTTTCATTATCCCTAAAGAGAAAATTACAGTTATTTTTATTTGTATTATTTTGCTTTCTCAGCAAGGGGCTAATACTGTTAGTAAGAAGGACTTCAATTCTGCTTCAGCCAAAATAGAGCTCAGTCCAAGGGGATTCTTGCCAGATTGGAGTGCAGGCAGCATTCATTACTCAAACAGCATATATTCAGCATCAACTATGTACTCAGAAAAGCAGTGGTTAGAATACCATGTACGAGACCTTTCTTACAATGTTGCTGAAGAGTCAGATATATGAAATAGTTTAAAAAGCAACAAAAGGTACAAGACTAAATGCTGTGGAAATTCAGAGAACAGAACCGTTATGCATTCGAGCAATCCTGTAAGGCTTCCTCAAAGAGTTCATGCCGTGTTCATTTCTGCGACAAACGTTTACTGACCACTCACTAAATGCCAGGCTCTGAGGATATGGCAGCGAACAATTCAAAGCCCTTGCCCTCATGAAGCCAGTATTCCAGCAGGAAGAGGTGGACAGCAAACAATACAGTATAGGGGGTGATGAGTGCTCTATTTAAAAGTAGAGCAGGGTGAGGAGATAGAGATGTGGATGGGGCAACAAGAACATAGAGACCCTAAGCCAAGAGTACAGAGGTGTGGTCGGGAGAGGTTATCAGTTACTCCCCCAGAGTAACTAAGCAGGGACCTCAGAAAACGACTGACAGACACATCCTCATCCTTTCCCACAATTCAAAGCATTGAGACAGTCTTGAGAGTATAGCAAA